GAATGCTTAGACCGTTGGTTGCTGGGCAAGGTCATTTACATTTGCCATCTGTGTAGAGGACGGTTATTCCTTCTTCATTGGTGTTGCATGAAAATGCAGAAATGCAATGCAACAATCTTATTTGATGCTTGACTCTCAATGACGATTGATTTCATAGTAAGTTCTGTTCGTTCTGCTAAACCACCATGATCATGGATAGTGGGATAGCTTTGTGATATGGATTACTCCCAGTGTAGTACATATCAAGAATATTTGCCAGTATACAGTGGTCCATTTTCAGACACTCTGTTTTGGGAGGCTAAACTGAAAATAGACTCATTGTGTCAATGTCACACTCATTGTGTTGCTAAATCATTGAAAAATGGATAATTTGGAGAAGTAATCCATCATGAGGATGTAATCTTCCATGTGCAATGTGAATGGATCAGTTGCTATTTTTCTCCAAAGAGTGGATGGAAAATCATGTGGATGTAAAAGCTTCCTTCTCTGTAGGGTCTGATGCTTTTGACATGCCTTATATATATTCACAAGGTATTGAAATCCCTGAATCATCTCCAGCCAGTACTCACGTGCTAGGTGTCATGCATTTTCAATACCCTATGTAAAATGGATATGATATCATGACATAATGCTTTTGGGATTAGGATGGTCTTGGAATTTTATTAATTTTGATTTGGCCAAAATGAACAAATCTTCTCAGGTACTTCTTTTAACACTGTCAGACCACCGTGGATCATGATCTTTTGCAACTGTTGCAGTTGCTCATCTTCAGCAATTACTGGTTACAACTATTCACACTGGTTCTGGCCAGATCAATCTTAAGAACATCTTCAGCTGTGTCCAGTGATAATATAATGAGCATGTCTCTTAAAAGTATACTGACAGTAAGATATAACAGTACAGACAGAATATTACACAATCAATGTGTAGATACATGTGACATCCTCATTTAATGCTAAGTTTTCTGGAGCTGCTTTACATTGTGCAACATTTGAATGGTTGTAGGAATTTGGAACATTTGGACATACACCTTAGGAGCAAGCGTAGATCATTCTAACCTTCAAACTTGCTTTACCATTCAATAAAATCATAGTTGATCTGCTTGTGGTCTCAAACCCACTTTCCTGTTTATCAAAAATCTAACACCATCTTGATAACATTCAGTGACTGGTCTCTACTGTTTTCTGAGGAGAATCCCAAATGCTAATGATCGACTGGGTGAAATAAACTCTCATCTCTGTTTTAAAAGTGAGACCTTTTCGCAAAGCTTGGCCCCAAGTGCTAGCATTGCCTGCAAGAGAAACATCCTATCAGAATCCACCCTGTCAAGTCCCCTCAATAAGATCACCTCTCATTCCTCTAAACTCTTTTTGATAAAGGCTCAACTTGTTCACTCTTGATTCACAAACTAAGCCCTACATCCTGGGAATTTATCAAACATAAAAACATCTGAATTAGGAGCAAGAGTAGGCCATTAAGCCCCTTTAACTGGGGAGGCAATGGTCTAGTGGTATTATCGCTGGATTGTTAATGCTGAGACCCAGGTAATATTCTGGGCACCCAAGTTTGAATCCTGCCATGGCAGATGGTGGAATTTAAATTCAATAAATATCTGGAATTAAGAGTCTAATGATGACCATAAATCCATTGTTGATTGTTGGAAAAACCCAATTGATTCACTAATGTCCTTTTAGGGAAGGAAATTGCCATCCTTACCTGGTCTGGCCTGCATGTGACTTCAGACCACAGTAATGTGGTTGACTCTTAATTACCCTCTGGGTAGTTAGGAAAGGGCAATAAATGCTGTCCTAGCCAGCAATGCCCACATCTTGTGAATGAATAAAACACAAAAGCCTGCTAGTCGTTCAATAAGATCATGGCTAATCTGATTATAACCTTGAATCCCCATTTTTGTCTATCCCTGATAACCTTCTACTCCCTTGCTTAACAAGATTCTATCTACTTCTGCCTTAAAAATATTCTCAGACTCTTCTTCCAACTTGTTTTCAGGATGAGAATTCCAGATATCCATGACTCTGTGAGAGGAAAAAAAACCTAACCTTTAATGGGTGACCCAGACTGTTAAACAGTGCATCCTATAAGAGGAAACATCTTCTCTAAATTTGAGTGCTTTTGATTTACTAAGTACCGTGCTGTATCCTCTGTAATAGTGGACACTAACAATTTCTCTATGACAGATGTTCAGCTAACTGGCGTGTAATTCCCCACTTTCTGTCTCCCACCTTTCTTGAATGAAGTTGCCATATTAGCCATGTTCTAATCTGCTAGAACTCTTCCTGAATCTTAGGAATTTTAGAAATTTATAACACTTCTCTACATGCAAGTATGGTTTTTGGCAGATCTGCTCAACTTCTTTCACGTTGGCTGATTGCCTTCATTTTTATGATGACCAACAAGTCTGCGAAACACTGGAATGACAATAACAATGTTCTCTAGCCTTGAAAGAAAAATTCTGCCACTTAGTTTACCTAATGGCATCATGCAGCGCAAATGTGCAAAAGTACTCCACACTATAATGATTTGAAAAGCCATGCAAAAGTCACTGTCATGGTGGGATTTAATGGTTGCTATTTCTGAATATCCCTGACTTTCAGGACCTCACCTTTGACCTTCCCCATTCTGTTCATCCAAGCCATTGTAGGATTGCCCCTTCCCTCCCTTTGTCAGTCCACTTTCACAGCCACAACCCGATCTCAATACACCAATGTCTCCTTTCTGTTGGTTCTATAAAGCTCTCTGGTCAAGCTGCTCCCACTCAGTAGAAAACCAACAGGAAGAAGACCCTCACCCGCAGAATGTCACCTTTTAACTACTCATATTACTGCACATATTTAATAAAGGTTTAGATTTTAAATACATCAGGGGTATAGGGAAAAAAACGGGAACATGGCATTGAGATAGAGGATCAGCCATGATCATACTGAATGGTGGAAAAAGCCTAAGGGACTGAATGGCTTACTAATTAACCTAGTTTCTATGATTCCATGAATCTAAAGGTGTGTTTTTTTAGTTGTTGCATACTTAATGCAAAAGGTTAAATTGAATCTGGCAAAGTTCTGTTTTAATAAGCATGCAATACGTGCTGATGCATCAAAATGGGATTCTTGTCACTTGACTCTGGGAAGCACAATCTGCTGGCAAATTAATAACCAGTTTTCCTTCCATCAGGAAGCTGACACTTTGCCCCTTGTCAATTATATGCTCTCATCCACTTACTTTACTTACTCCCAGGAGCTTCGTGAGATACCCCATGGTGTGGAGTTACCAGTGGGGCACTACATTCATCTGTTGAGACAGCACAAGGGAAATAATAAGCTCCACGATACATTTTACAAAGTCACTGACATAAAAGGGTTTCTGACAGCCAGGTAGATTTGTCATCCACTGATCAGAGAAAATTTCTACACAATTATATCAAAGTTATGGAACCAATGTCATTGCATGGGGAATTTCATTGAACTTTCCAGACCAAACAAGTCAAGCATGTATTTTTCCCAGGAATTTAACCACCAGTATACGTCTTGGCGACTTAACTGATGTATTGTGATTTAGAGGTAGTATTCATGAAAGTTAGAGCTCAAAGATAAACTTGGGAGGAGGGTTTGGAAGAACCCACTATACATTTTAATAACATTGAATTTGGAGCGTGATGCATCTGAGTTCTTTTAGTGAATTGCAAACTCAATGAAAGGATTGTGTAATCATACTGGAATCGTGTATTTTGATTTTGTCAATTGCTCATGTTGGTTTGTGTAACACAAGATTGTTAAAAACATGATTCTGTGCTTTTTACACTGGTGTCCATGCTTTCTCTGGTGTTTAAATTAACAAAACAAATTAGAACATAAAAGTAGACCAATAAATATCACCTTAGCCTATCACACCCAGAGTGACATGAAGGTGCATAATATAATATATAGACTATTGTTTGAATATATTTAGTAGCATACTGTTTACCCTAATTACCCAGTTCACATGGTTCATTTCTGCTACTCAAAATGTTCATATGCCAACAAAAATGAAATTGACTGTGTTTAATTCTGTCATCACATTATCTTCACATATACGCATTAAGTATTCAGCTGGTTTACTGAATTGCGTTCCCATAGACATCGGCTCATTTACTGATAAATGTTGAACCTATTACTGCATATGTGGTTTTGAGGTGACAGCTTCACACATCTTTTACCTTAAGCATACGGTATTGTTAGCTCTAGCTGTATAAACAGTACTCTTTTAACTCTATTAACCAAATAAGTTAGGCTACTGTATAACTTATGCAATAATTTACCCTGACAGTCTTATTCATATTTTTTCTGTAATAACTTTGCTGCTTACTGATTAGCAATACTGACTGTATTATGTTTCGCCAATTGTACAGTGATGGGTTCTTTAGTTTTTCTGTGACATACTACCTCTAAACCTGCAAATAGCTAGCAAATAATAAAATGGTAAGTAAAGAGCAATTTCATGACATAGATACAAGTGGAGACCCTGCTCTGAGGAGGTGAATGAGTGGGTAATGGCTTGAAGGAGGCTGTGTGCCTCTATTTTTACAAGCTTTTAGTTTATTAAAAGAACTGTGGGCACACAAGTTTTCTGGATGTTGGGGGAAATGCAGCAAGTAGAAGGAAGTGATAATTTGTAGGTATGGAACTTTACTCTGAATCGCTGCTACTGTATAGTTTGTCAGACCATCATAAATCTATAAACAATCAGCATCTTAAGGTGAAATGGCCAACAATTTGGGCCAAATTAATTACCAACTCCATTTCTCATTCCACAGATAACGCCTGACCTTTTGAGTATATCCAGCACTTTGTTTCTTTTTATTTTAGATTTCCTGCAACTGCAGTGTTTTGGTGTTTGGAGGCAATTCCATTGGGAGAGGATCAGAAATTTCGTCAACGCCAACAACATGCATTTAATAAATCATTAAAGATCACTTTCAACATTAACAGGAAAAAGAGAAATTAAAATTATTTGGAAGTTTTACACTTTATTTCATGATGATTGGACAAAAGACACGAGTAATAAAGTTAGTAATGGTTACATCATGCTGATCATATACTGTGCACTGTCCTTACAGATTAATTACAGCAGTTTACAATGGTCATGTACCTGAAAAAACACTGTATGGAAACACATAAATAAAACCAGCATTTCTCTTTTCTTAAAAAAAAGGGCTTGAATATTTTTACACTAGAGTTAAAACACCAGCAGTAAAACATCAAATAAAAATAAGTGCACAACACAAGGTGTGCGTGGTGAGGCTCACCAGGAGATTGGTGAACTTGGCATTTAAGGCATTTCTAAAGCCCCACTTCCTCACAAACATTTCTGAAGTCAAGACACAGCATTTTGGAATGTTTCTGCTCATGTTTTATTTCTCCGATTCCCTTGTTGAAAAAAGACACACACAAGCTCATTTAATTGACCTCCTCAAACCCAGTGACCAGCATTCCAAAGTTGTCTGCTCGCCTGCAGTGGGCAACAACAATGAGGTAAGCATTATAAGGACATCAGACAACAGACTGCATTCCTCACTAGTCGTTGCAAAGGGCCAGAGATTACATTAAAAAAAAATTGTGACATTAGAAATGACCAAAACCTTGACATCTACAAACTCTAAATACTGGCCTAAAAGATGACAATATCACACAGTGACAGCAAGGACGCATTTTCTTTGCATGTGATCTAGTTGCCTTTCACAGAATAATAAAACAGCACACTAACAGCAGCACCGCCCTTGTAAATGTCAGAAAGGCATTCCTCATTCTCTCTGTTGCAGTCACCTCTGTTCTTCCACCTTGCAATGATTTTGCTTTGGTGGTTGTCACATTCCAATTTCCGATGATACAGTGCCCCTTTCTATTCCTAATTGTGTTCTTTTCGGCTATCCCCTCACAGGATTACACAATGATATGTATTTGAATGTTATAGAATATAAAGAAATTCTGTGAATACACATTAGTTGTTAAGGCTGAGTTAAAAAAAAACCTTCTACAGATTTTTTTAAAAAAATGTCATATGATAGGGCCAGAAATAAAAATTGACACCACTGAATAATGCCGATGACAAAATATCACAATCTGAATCAATGCACATTGCAGAGACCAAATCTTACAGCAGTCTAGACACATTTATGGCCACTCATGCCACTTGCGAAATCCTTGGCATATTTCATAGTTCATGAAAGCGAAGCTCATTTTCCACAAACCTTTTCCAACAGCCCATTGTAATTTTAATTTAGCTACTGGGCACAGATTTACAGTAGTAAACTTCCCACCTGTGCCCATGTACTTTCCATTGGTCACGTCTGCAGGTGGAGCACATTACAGCAAGCAGCAGCTAAGGAGAAAATTATATTATGGGACCGGCTCAGTAGCATGCCACATGTAGTACAAAGCTCTTGGGTTCTTTTTTTTTTAAATGTGATCTCCAACTGGACATCAGTCTTTCTCCATTAAATTTAAAATGTAGGCATATTTTTCCCAGTCCAAGACCAGCAGGCCACATGCAATCTCACAAGTATTAAGTGAAAGGTATTTGTTACATATTGGTCCATAGTACATACACTATACACAGTGGGCAACAAAAGCGGGAGATTATTTCTGCATGTGGTAAAGTGTAACACCTACACAGTTTGAGTCTTTACATACAAAAATATAGACAAATGGAAAACCAAATTCAGGAAATTATATCAGCTCGATTCCATATTGAGTTTCAACTGCTGGTTAACGAAACGCAGTAAAGATTCCCTCAGTCTGTAGGATCTCAGCACAGAATCATGGGTTATCTCTTATGCAGAGTGAATGAACACTGCATGTTTGGGGAGAAAAGCTTTTCTCTTGACGGAGAGAAAGGAGCAAGCTCCTCCTAATAATGAAAACATTTAATTGTTGAGAAATATTAAATTAGTAGGTTTATCTAAATGATGTTTTGTTTTCTTTCAGAAACTACAAAATAATCAAAAGCATATATTTATTTCCTCTTGATTGCAAACCAAAATGTCTTAATTTTGATGACTGAAAAGCAACTGCATTTATGAGATTGTGAGCTGAAGTACAGGTTTTTAAAACTTAAAATGATTTATGATCATCTAAAAAAGTCCAGAACAATTTGAAAGTGTGCTGCCTTGACATGGGAATATTGAAAGTGGATTTATTTTTAAAAAGAGACAAGCAAAGATATCTCTTCGCATCTAGCTGTACATGATTTTGTCTGATAACTTCATATCTTCTATAAGTGGGATATAGCATTTTCCCAAAACAACATGTGTTGGCTAGTTCAGTCTTGCAATATACTTAATCCTTGAAGAAGTCCATAATTAAATATAAACAACACAAATTATTAAAAGCAGAGAAACAAAGAGAGTAGATCCTTATTGTGTCTCACAATTTGATGTAAAGGGTCAAATCTGAGTAAATACATTAGCCAGATTCAGGTTGCAAATAGCAAACACTGCAGCATTTAACTCTTCTAGTTGCCTTAAATAAGAAGAGCCTAACCACAAGTTCTTAGATTGTAAAGCAGAATGATTCAAAGAAGGCAGTAGGTACCACCAGCACCAAATTTCACAGGTTCAAGTATGACCGAATTAACTGTGTACAGTGTAGTTGTAGCCTAGGACGTTTAGATCGTTTGGTTCGCTTGTGAGATCAGCTTGATATACTGCAACAAAACATTTTCAATATAAAAAGCAATAAAAGTATACAAAAATAGAAAATAATTACAGCAATAGGCATGGCCTGTTCATTATTTGGCTGGACAGTGTAATATTGTGGGATTGTTCAAGGCGTCTTCTACTAGTTGAAGTTCCTGACGATCGATGATTACATCCTTTATGCAGCCTATGAAACCAGTGCTGTAGGCCTTTGGCAATCTACTTCCAAGTGCTAGCTTCTCAATTCCACCTGGAAAAAAAGGAGGACAATTGTCGGTGAGATTTGTGCACATCACGCTCTATGAAACTAAAAGCTTTATGTGGTATATATTGCCATTCCAAGCACTTTTGCTGACGGCAGAACCCACTGAATTAATGGGCATATTGTAATACAGGCCTAAGGACCCATGTTACTAATGACACAGATCAATTTAGTTGAATTCTGATTAATGTATAATACAGCTAGTGCGTTAAAATGGGTTATGCTTAGCTCAGGATGCCTGAAGACTGCACGTTTTAAAAAATGCATTTACTTTGGAAGCCATAGGAAATTGTTTGTTCAGTACATTTACAACAGTAATTGTCAATTGCACTTTGAAACTGGCACATCTTCAACCCATGTCAATTCTTTGTACAGGAAACTTCATGCAGCAATTAAGAAAGGAAATCTGAGTCACCAGCATAGAAGATATTAATAAATGTATACATGGACTAATTTCAAAGAGAAATTCTAAGACACTCCCTATATATTTTTACATGCTTTCTCTTCCTAGTAGAGCATGAAGGGCTGAATCTTACTATATTTTGGCCAAGCAACAATTTTGTCAAGTTTCACAAAAGCATTTCTCTTCATAAGGTCTATTGAGAATTCTTCTCATATCATCTCAAATTCATCTCATTAACTACCTACAGTGCTCCCATGGTGCCCCTCTCATGCAATGTTAGCCCAATTCCCCATTCGCTATAGTCAAAAGAACTCACCAGTCACTAGACATCCTGGAATACACTGATCTGCATCCCTGGCACCCACGCCATCTTAAACTCCAGCCAAAAATCTGGTGAAGCTTTGGCATTGACATTCCAGAAAAGCCCTTAACTGGCAATGTAATGGTGCAGCAGCCCCCCACGCACACAGCAGGCATGGCTGACACTTCCTGGACAGATACAGTTCCACTTTCTTGACCTTGTCACTGTTTAAACACCAGGTCACACAATGTACCTGTTTTTAGCCACATCCCATCCTACCGCTGTCGTTTCTACCGTGTCCCCACTGCCCACTACAGACCAGCATCTTATTATTATGTGTGGGCCATCACATACAAACATTCAGGCAATTCCAAAGCGAGTTTTTATTTCGTCAGCAAAAGCAAACACAAACAAAACAAATTCAGCCTGCAGTTCACCTCCACAACTCAAACCAAATGCACGATGACCAACAACGATTCTACAGTCCACAGTTTCCTGCTGCGCCCAACTGTCAACTACTGGGGCTGGGTGTCAGTCAGGTCCTGTTTGGCTTGTACCATCTGTTGCAGCTCTGTCATGCACAAGGACAGCTTCTTCTTCCTCAACGTCCTTATCTTCCTCCTCCTCAGAAGAAGACTGCACCCATTCTCCATATTCCTCAGCATACAGCACATTGTGTCATTGCCTGCTCCAGGGTCCACCTCGTCATTGCCTGCTCTGTAGAGGGCAGCACACTATGACGATAGGGTGCATTTGGTCCAAGTTATTTTTGCAGACCTCCCCCAACCCCACTCCCCATCCCCTGTCCCAGACTGATTCAAGCAGTGGAACTGTGCCTCAGCAGACCCAATGCCTGCTCCATCATCGCTCTGGTCGAAGCATGGACAGCATGGCATCTGCACTTTGCTTAAGTCAGAGGTTGCATAATGGTGCAGTGGGTAGTCCTCGTTCCCCAGTAACCAGTCATGTAAAGCACCTGACACTCAAATGAGCATTAACATGGTAGTGGTCACTGCTAGTAACACCCAACTCTCGTCAATGTCTGCGCCTTCCCAGTGTATCCCATTTATGCCTCGACTTTACACCTGCCACCTGTCGCCTTCCCCAACCCCACCCAGCACATGCTTCTGCCTTTCTCTCCCAGCTTTGAATGCCCCATTGTCACTGAGCTTCCCACCATCTCCCTCGACTGCTCAGCCTTCCGCTCCACTGCTCAACGTATGCAGCCTAAGACTGACCGCTGTCTAGCCCTCCTGACTGAATTTGACAGACAACCTCTGATAGGAACTGACCAGACCCAAACCTCTGACTGCTGTCCCTGCAGCTCCTGACTGATGACATGCAATTCCCAACTGACCACAGGCCATTCTTCAGGCTGTAGCCTATCCCCTGACCAAGGACGACCAGCAGTGACCAAGCTCCTGGGCTACGTTTGGACTCCGCCCCTGACTGACAGTACTAAGATCCCTTGACGTGGTGGTGAACTAAACCCCACATAGTTTATGACGTGGCCATTTGGTTGAATAGACATTCAGCGTGTTTGCTGTGCAGGTAGCTGGTTCATTCTGTCGGGTCTTAGGTTGACATGTCACAGAGGAATATGTCCGTCCGCCTGACCAGACTGATCAGTACTCACAAACACGTCAAGCAACATGGCCCTGTGTGCACTAAATGACATGTCAAGATGGTAGCACCGTCAGCCTTTACCCTCCAGCTGAAGTGCCAACACACTAAAAGGCAAGGCATGGCACAGAAAGGCAGGGATGCTGGCAGACACTAAGCGAATGAGCGCCAAGAGAGCAAGTGAGCAGCCCTGAGGTGTAGCCTGGTCCAGCTTGTGAGGTGGATGTCTGTCACTGTCATTAGATCACGACGTTCATCTGAACAGCCAGCGCAGGCAGCGTGAGCTGAATGGCCTCCTTCTGGCCATAATGATGGCCATGACAATTCTGTGATTGCCTGGGCAGCGGCATTGCAATGCCAGTTATCGGTGCTTCCCAAAGTGCACCTTTAAAGTGGTGCCATGAGGGTTCTGACAGCTTGGTGGATTTCAGATGTCAGTGTCCATGGAAACACCGTGTGTGCAGCTTGTGTCCATACAGCTGACCCGAGACATTGTTGTCAGGTGTCACAGATCGTGGCCTAGAGGTGCAAGCGGTGAGCTGAAATTACCATGTACTCGCTCTGACTTTCACATTAGGAGTTATCAATGTCTCATTTTCTCATGCTGGCTGATAGGATAGGAAACTGCTGATTAATGAGGTGAGATTCATTGTTAATGAAGCTGCCAAGGAGCTATATTCCCCATGAACAGGCATCTCACCGCTTCCTGATGAGAAACTTGCCTTGACGTCCTAAACTCTGTATAAAAATTCAACAATTTGATCCTGACATGAAGAAAGGCCTCATCTGACTTCTCTCATAATGCTCCCGCGTCACTCGTGGCCCTATAAAAATCTGCCCTAAATGTTCGCTGGTGATTTGAAAACAAAAGCCTTTGCTTTGCCTTTTGAACTAGGATCATTAAAAACAGGAATTAGCTCTGTTCCAAGAACATTAGTCTGACATCCCCTGTTGACTTGGTGAGTTTACTTCTTGAATAGCTGAATCAGATAGGCCATAAGGTCATTGGTTCAGATCCTAATCCTCAAGTTAGCAGTTGTGACAGGAAGAGGTTGGTATAGGCTGGCTTCAAGGTGATTCATGTGATTGAGGCTACACACCTGGCCATCCAAATATGCTGAATGTTTGTACTGGAATTGTGAGCACCGCTCATGATCGTTCCAACTTACCAAGCCAGAGTGCACCATCGGTATCCAACTGTGTGGCACCGATAGGAGATAACCCAGTGACAGGGGCTTCATTTCCCACCTGGAGAGTCCCATGTCTGTGTATCCTGTTGGGTAACCAGAGCAAAGAGAAGGGCACTGATTTTAGAAACTGAAATAATACTGAAAACTCTTCACGATAGACTACTGATGCCAACAATATAAACTTGCAAAAGGCAAAATCTGACCATCTCACTGGAAATTATAAGTCTTAGACCTTGGTTATATGAAGTTGGAAATTAGAATTTATGATATCAGGGAAGAACACTTATCACATTCATGTTAGAATTATTAATGCTACTTGCAAATGTCTTAATATCTTTGCTAAAATAATGAAAAAAAGATATGTCATCTGGGTACTTCACACATTTAACAACTAGGATAACAAATAGAAATTTCTAAACAATTGTCTGTACTCACATTCTCATATCAACTTTCCACAAACCACAATTAGTAACGAGTGAAATCAAAGGCAGTATACATGTTATATTTACCTGTTAGCTTTAATCCTAATCCACTGATTTGTGTTGACTGGAATTGTAGACCTGAGTGTGACTGGCTTAGATCCCAAGTCGTAGGTCATCTGCACGTATCCATCTACCACAGCCAGTGCAATGTAATCAGATCTCTCAGCAATTTTCCCACTCCACAGAATCAGTCCTTGCGTTGCTTCGGTTTTGATGCTCAGTTCAAAGTAATTAATTTGTATCGCTTTTTCACTAAACACAGAAACAAAAGTCCTTTTAAGAACAGGTTCAGAGATTCAAATCTTAATGCAGTGCCAGTGGTAAACATTCACTACAAAGTATCACCTTCAGGGTCCACTAACTCCTCTGTCACTTTGACTTATTATAAATGACCAATTCTTAATTTACATTAAAAAGGGCAAAGAGGTCTTTTTCATGTACCCAGTGACCTAGATTTGTGGCTTTTGGATTTTGTCTAGTAGAAATAAATAGATAGGTTAAAGCCAGATTCAAGGAAGTTGGATAATTGAACTTAATTTGCTGTGTGCAGCTCATTTGAATATTTTGAAGCACAGATTTGAATATGTACCAGTGGTAGGAGCAGAACATTGCATATGAGTATAATCTAAAGAAATGGTGCAATTAAAGGAAGCTGTCGCAACAAGTGTGACAGCTTTCTGAATATCTTCAAAGAACCTCAAAACTCTTTCGAAGCCTTTGCCACAGTTGGAGACGCACAGGATTCAGAGGATACTGACAAAAACAACAGGAAATGAAGCATAAGTCTGCAACAACTGACAAAAGTAGTCTCATCACCAACCACATGGTGGCTAACAAAGTGGGAGGTAGCACTGCATGAGGCAGCTGTGAGTATGGTGATCCTCTGGGCCTCTGTACAATGCCTGTAAGGATGTTGCGCCATAGTTCAGGACACAGCTAATTATTATCATCACTGAATCTGCCAGCCATATGCTTCATGGTAGCTTCAGCTATCCTTGCAACAAATAGCGCAAACTCTCCTTTTGCCTCGCTGCTGAGCCAGATCTTAGAAAAATGCTCCCCATTCCAATGTCAGATGCAGTTCCAGAGAACATTTGGTGACATATTGGTAGGTGTACTTAATGAGGCCATACATCAAATACTGATCATCCAGTTAAGCCATCTTTGATGCAGCGCCACTGAAAATCTAGTATTGTGCTTGAGAAGCATCATATTATTGTTAGGCAGGCATTCACATCTTGTTACAATGCCAGTGGATTTGCTGGCACAGTTTCTCTATCCTCAGTAGCATCATTGCCCATCAAACTGAGGTACAATCTCACATTCAACCAGATCTCCATAAGTTCTGAAGAAGTCATATTGGACTGGAAATGTTAACTTTGTTTCAATCTCTACAGTTGCTGCCAGACCTGCTAAATCCTCCAAGCACTTCCAGTTTTTACTTCACAAGTCTCTCTCTTTTTTTAAGCATGCCAGACAGGGTAATTCCCAGTAGGAAAACCCACTGGTGTCAGTAACAGGATGAGGAGTGACAAATTATTTACTTTGGCACAAAGTATTGTGATAATGTAACTGCCTAGATAAATGAAGAAAATAGGCTTTCCATAACTTAACAGTGTATTTTCCCCAGTCTTATTGCTGACTAGCAATCCTGGATACCTGCGTAAAGTGTTTCATATCCTGCACACTAGAATGGCAGGAAATGTCATGCCTTACAAACCCAAAATAATTCAATAAAATGTCTATCTTTTTGAACTGGAATCTTTCTCTGCTGTTGGTTTCACCCACTAGAAAATGCATTGGGGTGAGAAATGAGCAGATTTCTGTGAAAATAGGGCTTCCGCTCATTTTCCGTTCCTACCCATGTGAATACTGTCTGAGTTTGAGCTGGTATTGATCAGAAAATCTGGCTAGTGAACTTAAGAGGATTAATAGACCACATTGGATATTTGCAGTGCCACAGACACAACATCCAGAGATAAATAACATTAAAAGACCAACCAGCATCAAACACAACATCAGAAGGCCTTTAGGTTAAAGAAACTGAGAGCAAATTGCTGTACAGCCCGACAGAGCTATAAATAAAGGAACTTGACATAGGTTTAAATATGATAGATTCAAATCTACACCAAAGAAGTATTTATACAGGAATCCTGGTAGTCTGATTTCAAGGTTCATAAGGTTCACAGTTTAGAACTGTACTGTCAGTGAAAGGCAAAAGCAATTAAGTAGTATATCTACTGAAAGCTACAGCATGCTATAGGATCAACAGGCCAGGGAGATGTGCAGCCTCTTTGACTATTTGGGGAAGTTTACTCATCTAGATGGCATCAGGCTACATGCTGGTACTTGACAGGACATGATAAAATCAGCCCTAAAGATTGGCTTTTATCCAATGAAATCGTTTTTTTAAAAAATAAAGTTGTTCCAAACTATTAAATGACAAGTGGGAACAGGGAGGTCAAAGAGAGATAATTGAAATTGTAAAAATTATGTGAGGGAAGAGTGAAAATGGCTAACATAGTGTAGACTGCAGAATGTATAAAATGAAGATAATAAGAAAGGCAGCCAAGTGTTTAGTTGGAATGACAATTAAGGCTGATATTAGCAGGTTGAGAGGGGATTAGACAGGTGAGGAAATCAATTGAGACATGAAGGTGGGGAACTGTGCTTTCTGTTCATGAATTGTGGGGATGGTCAAGGTGATGTAAAAAGTCTATTCTAACACCATATACACCCATGTTTCTAATAAAGAACAAAATAATGAGACAGGAGATAGAAAAGAAAAGACAGCAAAAGCGTAATTAATGACATATAATATTCTACCAGAAATAGTGGAGGAAGCAGAATATGTAATCGTGATTAAACAGAAACACATACAAATATTTCAAGGAAAACATAAAAGGGGATCAGGAACAAATTGGCCGAGCTGAATGACCTTCATTAGAGCTGTACATACTAATTATAAAGTGCACCACAACCTTGTAGCCATTTCAGTTTGTGAAGTTCAGTACTTTGAGGCATTATCTCAAACAAACAATAACTTTAATAATTTATATATAGAATCTTGAATGGTAAAGGCTTTAAACCAATTTTGACAAATACATATCGTAAATGCAGCTTTCTTTTTCCTTAGCGGAGGTATTTTGAGAGTGGGGGCTGTGAGAAGGAAGAAGAGGAGTTCGTTCACAGTGATCAAACAAACTTGCATTTAGCTGATGCCATTTTCCTCCCTGCAACATCCCTACCACTTCCTAGTCACTGTGAGCTTTTTAAGTGTAACTACTGTTGTAACGTTAGCAAAGCATTTAATTGTGCAAATCTTGATCATTTGTTTTAGCAATGTAACAGATTTATAACCCGGTGCAATTGTATGACTATCTTCATGAATTCACTCAATGGTATAGATAGTTGCGTCTGAATCAAATGAGCTGGAAAATCCAATTGTGTAACAAGGTCAATGTAGCTCTCACTTTCTTTATAATTGGACCCAAGACATCATGATGAAAGCCACCACACACAGGAGGACAGCCACAGACAGAAGCAGTGAATGTAAGCACGGTGAAGACTCACCTTTGATCTGAAGGATAGTCCATGAATTCAGGACTTAGGGGGCAGAAAGAAAAATGCATGCATGCAGTAAATAGCAGTGAAGATCGTTTAATTGCTGAATCATTAAGGGAAAGCTAGACAGCACAATCTGTAAAAAGCCTAAATTAACCAATACATGTAAAATCTAAATTAAAAATCTGAAAACACCAAAACAAAATGAACAGTGGAACTTGTCTCTTCAGTTAGTACACTTGAGGTGGAACGTGCTCTTAATTTGGCATTCCAAAAGTAAAAATCAGGAAGTATTGATACAGTCATCAATTGTAAAGTTTAAAACAAAATGGCAGTAAAGTGTTGGAACAGTAACATGGTGCACAGCTGTTTGGATACAGGGTGCACCTGTATTCCAATGATGCAGTGCTCACAGTAGACATTCACAGATGTGTGGGATTAGGCTACTCACAGCTGCAAAAGGTGAAAATAAAAACAAGCAAATCCTGAGGGGAAACAGGACAGCCGAGAGAGGGAAAGGAACTTTTTTTGTACCTTTAAAGTAAAGGCCACAAGAATCTCTTAAAGAAGTTGAATTATCACTCAAGACCCCAGCCCAGATTGATATCCTGAGTTACCAATTTTCTGACCTCTATATAACAATAGAAATAGATAGACAGAAAAAAAGAAAATTGACTACAAAATTGTCTACTGTAATTGCTCATTACTGAGCAAGTTGATCTGACATGGCTGACAGTAGGGTTAAGGGGATTTAAAACAGAAATCGTTGCTGCTCGTGGATCACTTTTGATTGAAACCAGTTGGAAAGTGGACATTAAGCAAAGACAGTGTCAAGATAGTCACGTGATCTTCCCAAATGTCAAATGGTCTAGTGGCTGCTTAAGCTAAGACACAAAGAATTTGTAAACTATCCTTTACAATATGGGACCAACTGGGAGAAAATTAGCCGGAAGTCAAAGAATTTAAAATACATATCCAAAAAAAAATCGACACCACTTTCAGGTAAATAAGTAATAACATTTATATTTTGCAACATGTATATGTTTTGAGAAGGACAAGTAAAAATGAAATCCTGAGTGATCAAAATTGCTTCTTGAATGCATTCTCGGAGGCAACACAATACATCATTTTGATACATATGAATATTTAATGATATATTTGAGCAGATTTGCAGAATTAGTGGAAGGTCACTAACACAGCACATAAATGATATATAATTGCTTAAAAGTTCCGAGGGTAACAGTGAGATTTGCAGAATTAGTGGAAGGTCACTGACACAGCACATAAGTGATACATAATTGCTTAAAAGCTCCTAGGGTAGCAGTGAGATTGGTCTTTTCAGCTGTTCAAGTTGAAAGATGAGTGTGACGCAGAAATGCAGCACTCTTCATTTTTATACTCAATGATGGCATCAAGCTCTCCCAGGCTAGATAGATAGTAACAGTTACTGTGTACAGTATAAATTTAATTTGGTCTGTAAAAGGTGATAGATAGCTCAGAGCAAAATGTTATTACATGGATTTCAGTCGTGAATTGCTGATAATGATCTCATGTGAAGGTGTAGGTAGGCAATCAGGCATTACTCATTTTTAGAAAAAAATAATTCTCCTGAATATGGCCATGCCATTTACTGATTCTCCCTAACTGCCTTTCAGAAGGGGCTGTTGAGCCACCTTCTTGATTTGAAG